CCTCCCCCCAGGCTGCCGCCGCCGAGCTCTTCTTGCTGCTGCTGCTGCTGCTGCTGCTGCTGCTGCTGCTGAAGACACAGCCCTTCCTCATGGCCCAGCCAGACCCAGTCGTGGGTGTGGGGCATGGTCTCTTGGGCGTCCAGTGACAGCTGCTTGCTACGGTATTTGTATGCATAAGAGATGCAGTTAATGAGAAAAACCAGAATAGCTAGACAGAAGACTCCCAGCAGCGCGTACATTCCGATCTCCAGGTCCGTGAGTCCCCGTCGAGAATGCAGCGAATCCTCGTCAGAACTACGACTCCGAGGCAGCTCAGCCTGATCAGGATATTCAGAGAATTCATTTGGGACTCTTGCACCGCTGTCTGATGATAGACGGCCCCCATTAGGCCTCATCGGGACCTGGCCCCTGATGGTGGTGGCTCCGCGGTTGATTACCCCAGTTTCCATGTCAGAAATAGATCCTCCATAATATGGAGGATCAGGCCTCGGTCGCCGCTCTTCTGCTGGTCTGTACGGCTCCTCTGGTGGACCAAACCTTACCTGCACGTTCGCCATCCCAGTGGCTAAAACCGCGCGCCTCTTGCCCTTCTGGCACACGTCTGACGGGGACATTTCAACACGGACAAGTAGACCCTGACCTTCTCCCTTGGTAACAATAACGGGCCACTTCCATGCTGCCGACTGCTGCACGGCCACGACTCGGTCATTTAAAGAGCTGGCTGCCAGGGTGAAATGGGCAGCGTTGTAGTTGTCCAGCGGATTCATGGATCCATCACTGAACTGCAGCCAAGCACTGATGAGAGACTCCTACAGAACAGACCCACAGACACAAAAGAATCAGTTCAACAGCCGTAATACATTGTGTAAACAACACACAGAATTCCCATGAATGAAAAAATGGTGAACAGGGGCAGAGGTACATAGTGGAAGGGAGAAAACTGGGGGACCTTAATTACATTAGAGTGGCTGCGTTGACACAGTTGGATGAAGTGTTCTTGAAAAAAAAAAAAAAAAGAATTCTCCAGAAAGCCCTGATATTTTTCTCTGAGGAGAAAGACAGTAGCCTTCCTCTATTTGAAATTCTAATTACATGAATAACTGTGCCGTTCTCTGTTTGGATATGCAAATCAAAGAGATGGCTTCTCTATATCAAGAGTGAATTAATTATAAAAGAAAAATTACAAGCACTATCACAGACTCTTATAACCTTGATCCAACCCTGCATTTATAATCCTTATTACATTTGGAGGGGTTGGTTGGACCCAGTGGGTTAAATGGTTTTTAAAAAAAAAAAAAAAAAGAATTCTCCAGAAAGCCCTGATATTTTTCTCTGAGGAGAAAGACAGTAGCCTTCCTCTATTTGAAATTCTAATTACATGAATAACTGTGCCGTTCTCTGTTTGGATATGCAAATCAAAGAGATGGCTTCTCTATATCAAGAGTGAATTAATTATAAAAGAAAAATTACAAGCACTATCACAGACTCTTATAACCTTGATCCAACCCTGCATTTATAATCCAAATATTGGTTTTCAGGCTGCAGTAAGTCGTATTCAGTGTCTGTTTGGTTTTCATCAACAGACGAATGTAACGTTTTCTGTATGCTGCCGCCATCTGACAAAACAGGCTCTGCTGTCTTTTAGCTCCAAATCCACTTCTGTAACTTTTTCTTTTCTTTCTTCAGGCTTTAATCCAGTCAAATATTACAGTTCGGTTTTGATATGAAAATTATTACATTTATCTTGCTTATGTAGAGTTTGTACAATAGAATGCATGTTAGACAGGAACATGCCGCCATTCACTGTTCTCTGCATTTTGTCAGTATAGTTCTATAATGGATATATAATATGATATCTTGACTGATTTTAAAAGGTAAAACTGAAAGACCGTCAATCGGTATATGAAATTTAAAGCCAACAAAAATGAATTTCAATGAAGAGAAGGAAAACATTCTTCAACTGGACTGTATGGTGATGAAACGCATTGTTGTTGGATAAGAACAATCTTCTTCTTAAGGATGGTGAGGTTCTCCTGTTTAAGAAGAGAGTCCGCTGTGGTTGTTTCCACATTGACTGGTGTCACCTTCAGTTTGACAAAAAGCTTAGTATTAAGACCCGTAGCATGACCAATCAATCATGACGGTGGGTTGTTTCAATCTCATCTGAATAAATCACAGACATTATGCATGTTTGGTAATTGGTCATTTTTGGTAATTTTCATCAACTGTAGAAAGCAAGTAGAAACTGTCAGAAAAGAAAGATTTATTTTTTTTATGTAACTTGACACTGTAACTGAGTACACATGTCACTCACCTACACTGGTAACATAATAATCTAGGACATAAAAACATCAGAGGAGTCTGACTTTCTCCTGGGAGCCATAATGAAGGGCAAAAAGTTCCCGAAAAACAACACAAACAATAGAAAGCGAATGCAGCATAATCCAATGTAAACAAACAAAGCCTTCTTCTATGTAGAGTCGCGTGCAGAGCCCTGCAAATTAATTGGCGAGTTTTTGATGCCGTATGTTGGAATGATTGAACTAAACTTTTTTTTTAATAAGTTTATGGCAGATGGCGACGTAACCACGAAACGCCATATGTCCTGAATGTCGTAAACCATTTGTATGAGTGATGAAAACGAACAGTTCTCTTCTTCTACACTTCATATACTGCTCTATGGAAGAACACACAGTTGTTCTTTGAAGCTGTGTGTAGAACCTTGAATATAGCTACAGTACAGCATTAATCAAGATGTCACATAGAGAGACACTGGGGTGTCTTGGAACCGTACCTGTTTGAGCGAGTCGCTGACTTCCTGTGTGGTTGCAGTGGCCACAATGGCCCTGTTACTCCCCGGGCTGAGCTGCAGGGACAGTGAGAGGCCTGAAACCAGCTGCACCCCCAGCTCTGTCACAGTCACTTTATCATCCAACACCCTGATGCTCCTCTCAGCCAGGACGGATGATGTCAGAGGGGAGCGCACCTGTGACACATGCAAACACATGCTGTCAGGATCTGAGCTGACACTGTGACTGGGAACTAATGAGAAAGGACAATTAGTGAGCACTGTCTTCACTGCCGTCAGAGCAGGTGATTCAACATCATCACTGAAATGTCATTTGAGAACCTGTGAGAATGAAGCCGTGTCAGTTTGATGAAGTTATTCCCTGTTTGTTAAACACTACCACAGACCAACTTTATAAAATCCAGGAACAGTTTTTAATTTTTTAGAAAACTTTTGATAAATGTTAAAAGAGATGAAAAAACCAATAACAAAACAAATCAGTACTTTAATGATAAAGACATTCAAGGTTAACAAAGAAAACTCTTTTTAAACCAAACTGTTGGGTTTGTTTTTTTCCAGAGTTTGCATGTTCTCCCTGAGTGTGCCCTAACCCTAACATGCAGATTAGGGATGAGGTTGACTGAAGTGGTAATTAATTAGTCATTTTATCATAGCTATGAATGCACTGTGGAGTACACCCTGAACTGTTAGCTGCTCTGATTGAGTCATCCATCAGTGACTGTGGGGACGATCGGGGGTTTAACATTCTAGAAAGATGGACTCATGGATGCATGAAGGGATGATTGGATGGATGGACTGACAGATGGACTGATGGATGGTTGAAGATGGATATTGGTTGGTTGGATGGATGGGTGGACGGAGGGATGAGTGGATGGATGGACTGACAGATGGACTGATGGATGGTTGAAGATGGATATTGGTTGGTTGGTTGGATGGATGGGCGGAGGGATGGATGGATGGATGGATCAATCAATGGTACATGGTTGGATAACTTGATGAATGGAAAGGTAGGTGGATGGCTGCATGATTGTTGGTTGCATAGATGGATGGATGGATGGATGGATGGACAGAGGAACAGGTTGGCAGGCAAATAGATTGATGGTAGAATAGATGGATGTTAGTTGGTTGGATGCATTGGTGGATGGGTGGAGGGATGGATGGATGGTTTGATGAATGGAACGGGTGGGTGTATGGCTATATGGATGGATGGGATGATGGATGGATGGAAAGGCAAATTTATGGATGGACAGTCGGACAAATACCTACTTGGTAGGGACACCCTTTGAGATCCATTGCACCTACACCTGTACACAGTATAAGTTATCAAAACCCTTCTCTTGAAGTCTGCCTGGCTACAGACACACTGTGGTTCCTAACACACTCCACCTTCCTGAGCTGCCAGAGGTGGAGCCATGTAAATAGTTGTGATATTGTTATGAGAGGAGAATTTATCCTATCTGCTCCAATTAGGGTTTCAGTCGCTCCTGCAGCCGCCCCCGCATGGCAGCATTTACCAGCCATAATGAACTGTCAGCATGGATCACTGGCTCATTTGTACAGACCCTTCTCCTGCTTTTCTTTTTCCGTTACTTTTCTGTTTCATTTTTTCCTTATTGCCTCCACAAAGCTCCACAATCAGTGTTGATTTACCCAAAGATGAGGGAAAAAAATACTCCGACCCCATCAGTGAGAAGTGGGCATAGGTTAAAAAGGCTTCATTTTGGAAAAAAGTCCAGACGGTATTTAGACATAAATAGTGGCCAGTCATCATTTTTTATATGATGAACAAGGGAAAAAAACAAAAAAACAACTGCAATAAATTTGTAAACACAGCCTACAAAAGACACTTTTATGATCTGACTGAATTACAGGCCAAGGTGTGTTACTTCATATACGAGTAGTTTTAGGTGGTAATTTAGAAGCAGTTACACTTGTTACCAAAACAAAACAAAGCATTGTTTTTGACAGACTGTCTTAATGTTTCGGAGTCTAAGACTCCCACACTGAAGATTTCTTTTGGTATTTTTACCCATTTTCCATCAGTGATTTCTTCTCGACCCTTTCTGTCTCATCCATTTAATTCCAAACAGCTAATCTGAAGACGTTGTCTAGTGTTTCTGGTGTAAGAGAAATGCAAAACTTCTAAATAATATACTGCGGCTGAAACCTTTAATCACATCAGAGACGTCTGTCCATCATCCAACAATAAAAGAACACACTGGCATACATTTTCCAGATGCCAGGATACAAAGTTAACAAACCGTGGCTGAGCTCTGCAAGAAATATTTTTCTTGATCCCTTAAGAAAACAGAGTAGCCCTGAACTACGGATACATGTTAATATCTGTTCAACGGAGTACTATGCTCCTTTTTTTATTCGGTTGAACTGTTTCTCAAAACTTTCATCTGATTCTTTGTTTTTTTTTTCATCTAGCATATTCAAATGACTATTGGTGAACAAGTCAAAACATAAAAGTCAGTTTCTTCCTTTCGACCCCGAGATCATTGATAGAGTCTTCCCAGGCTTTTGTCTCTCTCTACAGGGATGTCATGGTTCTGTCGTGTCTGTTTTTTTTGTTCACACATCTGAAAGCTTTCACTTCCTGACTAATAAAATAATAATTTAAAAAAATTCCCGTAGCCTCCAGCGTGACGTCAAGTTCAACCAATTATGATCAATAATAAAAGCTAATCAAATTGTTCATGCAGGTAGAACATTTAGAGTCTGCCATAAAATGTTCCTTAAAGAATCCCATCAAACTGACACATCATTGAACAAAGCAACTGAGCATTTTAATAATCAAATCATTCTTCCAGGGAAACTACAGTAAACAGTACACAATATTAAATTCTATGTTTCAGCCAAATTGATTTCAAATCAAATCCCATTTTAAAATGATTGGTTTGGATGGATATGACCCTAAAAACATCAATATATTTGAAATCATTTTGCCGCATTGTAGATGGTCAGCTGTAGTTGTAGAGCCATTAGAAATTCACAGTATACATCACTAGACACATGCAAACCAAAATGGTATATTAATTATACTTATGGTGGTAAATTATATATTTCCAAATTCAAAATATAAATAAAATCAGTCAGAATTTGTGTCTCACAGTTCTGACAAAAAATGTTTTTTTTTTTTGCTCTAAAAAGTTTTGCTCTGCTGCTTAACTTAATGGAATTCAACAACATTCCAGCAGCACAAACACAGATGGAGTCAAGTTTCTATAATTCCCACTAAAATAATGTGAGGATAACATAAAAAAGATGACTGCCACAGGAAGATGAATTAGAAATGAGTGAAATTTTAAGAAAAAAAATAATTTTTGACCACCTGACCCTTGTTTGTCCATTAAAAAAGCCTTAGGCCTGAGAAAAAGCCCACGATTCATCCAAAGTGACTTGCCCTTTGCACAGACTATCTGAGGAGCATGGTAACGACTCAAGTGACATTTCAAAAAACAAACTGTTGATTAACTTGTGAAAACCCTCACAATCAAATCACGATTTCGTCCAGGTCCAGATAGTTTACTAAATTAGCTCTAGATAACAGTACGCTGTACATTGGACATTAGCACATTCCAATCATGGCTGCACTTCCAACATTAGATAACTGCTTACTAGCCGCGATAAAGGCATTCAACAAACTGGTCGCAACCTTCAATAAATAGAGAACCACACTGTATGCTGATAATATAATATAATATAATATAATATAATATAATATAATATATACGCATGTGTGGGTAGAATAAGCAGATAAATATGAAGCCAGGAGCCACAATAATATGTGGTCTTGTAGGATAGGATAGTATAGGATATTACTGTCATTTCTTAGCTTTAAGGTAAATAAAAAGATGGTTGTCTGTCGGCGATCGCTGGTGTTAACCTGACCATGCTTTTTCCTATAACCGTCGAGGCATCACTGGCCATACATTGTGCCTGGCTGATGTTTTCAATCAGTGAAGGAAAGTATGTGAAGGGGCACTTTTTTTATATACTCAGCCACATGAAAGTGATTGTTGGGCAACATGTGGCCTGCAGGTCACAAACGGAGCAGGACTTTCTATTTTACACTCTGCTTGATATGTGGCGTGTAGAGCAGTAATCTCGCAGAACTACATTTTTCCAGATAATAACTCTGAAGTAATACAATCTCACATGGCTGTAAACAATTTCTTTTTCCCTTTTCTCTCCCTGAAATATCAAACCTGAAACACCGGGCGGTGTGGTCCACGGCTTTAACCTTTTGTTCTGATCAAACCATGTCTTGACCATAAATTAACTGACAGTGGGCTCAGATCTGCAGTGCACACAGCTCTGATACATAACAAGAGAGGAGCAGATTATGATTACAGTCTACTGTTGTGAGATGTGCTATCTTGTAAATGCCAGATGGGTATTTATTTACAGAGCGTGTGGGAACGAGTGCCGCCCTGAGGAGAGGACCTTGTGGTTTTATTTGATAAATAGATTTGTGTGTGTATGTGCGTCTTGCACGTGTGTGTGTGTGGTGCGAGGGAGAGCAAGGTGGGGCGGGGGCTGTACAGGTGCGAGTTTATATAAGACGTTCCACGAAAGCATGTTTCTCTGTCACCTTGAGTCAGTATTTTTTGCCGCGTTGCACCGCTCTATTCTGTTGTGAAGCATTTCTACAAACCTGCCCCATCTTCTCTTTTCTCATTCTAATTACTGCCAGCCTAACAACCTCCAGTTATTGTTCTACAGTGAATTACTTTAAAAAAGCAGTTCCAGGGACACATTTAATGACTATATATTTTTCTGTATTCTACGTTTAAAACACATCGTTGTTTAATACAAAAATTCTTTTGTCCATCCACTTATCCTTGCTCTAATGCACAGTCCGTACATGTTGTCATTTATACATACTGCGGGGAAAAAGTTTTTGTATCATCAAAGTACCTTGAGCTTGAAATACTGTACCTCTTCCAACTCCGCATTTATGGAGGCTTCAACTTAAGGTCAAACGCCCCGAATGTGTCGAAGCAGCCTCCCCAAGGGCAGGGCAGTAAGTAAGTTAGTGAGGCTACGACTGACAAGCTGACAGAATGTACTTCCAGGGACTGTAGATGGATTAATATTGTTGAGGACAACTTCACTGAAGATTTTAAAGCCATTCCAGACACTTTGCACAAGCCACCGTAGAAGAAGCGCAGTGACAAAAACCCACCGACTCACCAAAAAAGTAATGGCAATAATGTCTAGGATTTGAGTTTTTTTCATGTTAAACATTCCAATAATGTTATTAGGCACAGATAAAGTGAAAAACACATATATCTAAGTGATGTGATTGGTGAATGTAATGGTTAATTATGATTATCGTAATGAACCCACAGCTATTCTGTGAAATTCTGATTTTAATTGACAGCCGTAACAGACACACACAAACACACACACACAAACACACACATTATTATACATGTGCATGTGTCACATAAAAAAAAAATTCAAATGTGCAAATGTTGTCCCTTGGACAAGATATACAGTATTACAGTAATACCAAAGCTGTCGATGATGTATAAAGATATCTACTTAGAATTTTAATCAAAACATTAATATACATATACACATATATCTACATATATAAACATATACATTAATCACCTTCATGATAAATGGCAGCAAGTAGATGTATACTGTATATTTCTCACCCGTTTTTACCCAAATAGTGTATACTTGTATGTATGTATCTATATGTACACAGTATGTTTGGTTTTCCAACAATTACAGAAAGTAGTTGTAGATATCTGGCTGTGTTTTTTTGGCTTAGACAGTTATTGCTGTACAAAGACTCTTTAATGACTCTGGCCAACTGGATTAATCAGAGTGGAAATGACATCTTTACAACCACAGCAGTGGTTTAAAAGAAGCCATCAGGTTTTAATAGGCGCGTCAAGGAATGGCTGTGTCGGTAAATCAGAAAGTTCTGAAACAGATGTTAAGACGAGTCTCTCAGGGTTCAGATGTTTACCAGTTCAGATCGGCGTTACGATTTCCTTACTCTAAAATCATTGGGAACATCTTTATTTTTGACTGAACCTTGATGGAAACCTGATTAAATTATTGAAGCCTTAGAAAAGTATTGGATCTATTTTTAATTAGATTTTTTTTCCCTCTCCCCCAAAACTTCAACGGAACGTTTGAGAGATTTCAACAAAGAAGCAAAACCCAGAAGTTTTGAGGTTTAAATAGATGACAGATGTAGAAAAATACCTTTATTAATTTAATAAATTCTTGATAAATCATTGTATGTATAATTTTTCTAGTCTTGTTTGCACAACATGAGTAAACACACTACCTGAAGCTTGGTGGTTCCGGGGCTCAGTCCCATCAGAACCGGACCATCCGTCAGCTGGGCGACCCTCGGATTGTCCACCTTCAGTGACTCCTTCACCATCTGTGTCACTTCCACCTGCCAGTCACTGCCCAGGAGGAAGTTGAGTTGTTCCAGAGCCTCTTCGTCTGTGGCTCCTCTCACTTCTCTGCTGTCTGCCACAAACTGGGTTAAGACCCGGACCGTGGTGCTCTGGTACTGCGCTCCACAAACGCTCTCCGTCCTCTCTGGTGCCGGAACATCGCCTTTGTTGTCGGTGACCCTCTCATTTCTAAGGCAGGATGATAAAAGAGACAGAAAAATGTTAATGACTTACTTTAAAAAATTAGACCTTTGGAATTTCATTTCACCTTTCGCCACTAACACACTGTTACTGTTTCATAAGGACCAAGCCTTTACTGTCTGACCTTGGCATAAGTCATCGGCTCCCAGTGTTTTTTTTTCTTTTTCTAAATCCATAAAAACAACTTAGCCTTCACAGAGAAACCGCTGCTTTACTTTGCTTTACTTTGCTTTCTCATTTCTCATTCCTTTTCAAAGGGCAGCTTACATTTTGCTGTTTGACTGACATTTATTTGGCCCAAGGCGAGCACTTTGTAATAATATATCTCACTGCAAATATATACGTAGCAAATGAATGTTTGCAATTCCATCCGGTAAATATTGTGGCATGTTCTCCCTTTTCCTTTTTTCTGTCAGTGTAGGAAGTGAACAACAACTCTCTCTCTTTCACGCTCTCTCCTGCCTGGGAGCCGTAATGAAGGGCAAAAAGTTCCCGAAAAAAAAAGAAAGAAAGAAAGAAAGCAAATGTAGCACAATCTGGTTCTGGTGCCAGATTTGTTTTAACTCTGTATGTTGAAATGATGGAACAAGATTTTCTGAATACATTTATGAGAGATGGTGACGTAACCAAGAAATGCAATAGGTAAAGAACGTTGTAAACTGAGGACCTCCTGTATAATGTTACCAAGGAGTTTGCTTTTTGAACAAAAAATTCCAGCTCTACGTCAAATTTGTAATCGTATTTAGTGGAAAAAACACAATAAAGTAGGAGTTTCCGATTGTGTGACTTTTTAATGGCAAAACTAATTCTCTGTTGTTTGACGAGGGCTAGGTATATCAATAATCACCCCTCTGCCTCCCCCCTTGTCCCTTGTGGTCCATGATTTGTCCATTTGTGTTTAAAAACGAATCTATGAAAATGTTCTGTATTAATGCTGTTTAAAAGAAATGTGGATTTTATCTACGGCTGCTTTTATGCTTAAATAATGTGTTTACCCTTGTCATGAATAAATTGGAAAAAATACTTCATTTCCCATTCAGCTTCACTCTTACTAATAGCGTTACATTGATGTGGATGGCAACATCCGTGTCCTGTCAATGCTTTTTGGGCAAGAAAAGGGAAGAAAATCACTGTCCTTTTCTGTGGAGTTGGTAATAAAAGTAGTCCTTTGTCATGTCTAGGTGCCTAGGCTGAGCTGTGAGAGCTGCCAAGATTAGTAAAATGTAGCCTTGGAACACAGATGTCCTCCCCAAAACTCAGCAATGTTGACACTGACAAGACAAATTGCCCTGTTTGTTATAGATGCTGGATCACTGTTATCCAATCCACCCTTCAGTGTCTGTCACTCTCTGTCCCTGCATGGTTTGGTGTCCTGGTGCATAGTTAAAGTCAGGTTGCTCTCACTCTATATTCCTCATCAGTTCCTAACATGACTGTCTCCTCACCTTTATTCACTGTCAAGCCTCCCCCCGCCCTCTCTCCCTCCCTCAGCCCTCCTCCGTCTCCTATTCATGTATCTACGGGAAGTGACAGTGACAGTTTTCATTAAGTTTAATGAGGCGGGCCCGGTCAGGCAGAAAAACACATTGACAGGTTAACACGCTGTGGCCCAATGGCTTGGCTGAGTTCCTAACCTCTCCTCCCCTCCCCTTCCTTCTCCGTCCCTCAGCTCCACATCAGTACGGGGACGTCCGTCTAAACCAAGGTGACATTTTAGACGGCTAACAGAAACATAGGGTCAGGTCATGTTTGCAGCAGTGAGTGACAGGTTTGCCAAAGTGCTGGTGTGTAATGAGTTGGACTGTGCACTGCACACACCAACACACACACACACGTACGCACTGGCAAAAAAAAACCGTGTTGACACAATTTGGAACTCTCTTTGTTTTAGTGTTTACCTGCAAAACTACTGATAAACGACTTCATATGCAATCAGCACATGTGCGTTTAAACATGAAGGACACGCCTGCTCCATGCATCAGTGGGTATTTGTGTTTGAGTGCCCCCTGTGGGTCGTATGCCAAATATGTTAATGTTAAAAAGACAAATCCCCTGTGTCCCTCAGTGAATGTAGGTCTGCAGTGAATTCATGTCCAAACTAACTGTCAGTAGACGTGAATAAACACTATGTTCACAGTTGTAATATTATCTGCGAATAATATCTTGGATTTATTTGCGTAGAAAATATCTAGGACAAAGACATGCCTAATAAATAAAATCAATCTGAGGTTTCTGTGTTTATTTTAGGGAGAAACAAAAATTGGAACTATGACTAATTTCTGCTGACCCTTTTTTTTTGGAGAGTTTGAAACTTCTGACCGAGGAACTAAATAAAAACCTAACAGATTGAATTGATTGATTTTTATTCCAGAAAATTCAATTCTGTGGCATGGAAAAATCTACCCTCCAAAATCTAGTTGTGGTTTTTCCTGGCACACTGACCACAGCGGTGTAGATTCTGACAAATTGGAAGAGGGAAAGAAGAGAGTACGAGTTCAAGGTCAATAAATAAAGACTTACCTAAAAATTGACTTCTCACAAAAAACATAATCTCTTTACAGAACATTTTGAGCTTTGACTCTAAATTTATTTTCATTTTAAACCTCACACCCTCCACCACATTCACAGCATTGGAACCAAAAATCCTGAAAATGAATTATTTCTGTCGAAACGTCACAACGTCACACCGTGCGCCACAGCTTGCGCTGCACCTGTCGTTTGGTAAACGCTCAGATTTTGTTCAGACTCTGTGACGCTCAGACCTACAGTGTGACTCATTTCTCACTAAGTTCCTTCAGGGAGATGAGTCCGGTGAATAATTAGACAAGCTTTTCACCACTTCTGCCTCTGCACCTGCATTTTACGCTTTGTACGTCTGAATCCATATATTTTTACCTGATGAAGAATGTTATTGGGATTCTCCTGCCAGGGATTATTAAAAACCGCTCAGGTTAATGACCTAAATAGGGATATTTGGACTTGTCCTTGAACTGTTTTAAAATAGCTGTTGCTGATTTATGGCCCCACATTGAATTAGGGGCTTTGGAATCACTTTTGCTTGGGCAGCAATAGTTCTGCAAGTTCAGTATTTGATCATTTTTTGGGGTCTGAAAATACCTTCCACCTGCCTGGATGATGTCCACGTTCCACTGGTAGTGACTGTGGTGTCATGCAATCGGTTCTCACCTTCTGTTCCCAGTACTGACTGGGACTCTCCAGCCCTTGATCTGGTTGAGATCGGAATCGGCCACGTCGATGAGCAAAGGGAGGCGGGGCATCCACACGCTCATCTCCAGCTGTGCGCTCAGGAAACTGTAGGTGAAGTTGAGCATCACCTTAATCTTTCCCCTGGTCTCTTTACCGTTGACGTAGACGTAGTCGCATCTCTCCGATACCTGGAGACCAACAGTGAAACAGCTGTGTGAGGAGTGAGGAGGGAACTGAGGACCACTCATTAAAAACATTCACAGAATTCCTACTCTATTAAAACCGTCATCTTCATCTCCAGCTTCTTCTTTGGTGAACAGCTACCTCTCTGATGCTGCTGCGTCTGGCAAAGCTTCAAAGACAGCCTAAGGTCGCCTGACTCTTTTCTCTGTGTGTGTTGAGGCAGATGCTTCTTTAGTAGGATCTGGGATAACGTTTGTGAGACTGTGGTCCAACTGAACAGATGGAGCGTGGAGAGAAGATGCAAAGCTGCATATCAGAGAAAAAAAAAACTGACAGAAAACTGCTCCTACTACATTAGGAGTGACTGAATAAAGAAAAGTACAACTCTGATCAATCACCCGGGGTCTCTCAGATGCATCTCCAACCCATGCACCAGATGTAGCTGAAACATCAGTGTCCATCTTTAGTTTCAAAGCTCCAGAACTTGTTTCATCCATCGTTTGTCTTCAGGGACGGTGGTCAAATCATCAAACTTTGTTTGTAATCACTGGCATTTTGAATTCAAAATAAGACAATTTTACACTACTGCCAGCCATAAACTCTAATTGCCGTCATTAGTACTGACAAAAAGGCAAAGTTAGATTCTGGATCTCTCAATGTAGAGTCTAAATTTGACCAATCTTTTTGAAACTGAGAGCTACTTCAAGGGTACTAAATAAAACGAAGAGCTACTTGTCTGATACAGACTTCCAGAACAATGTAACAATAATCAGTTCTGGGACATACAATAGCAGACACTCTTCTTACCATCGTCTTTGGACCCATTTGAATATCATTATCAATATCAAGTGTAACTGATTCAAAAAGCACAGTAACAGAACAGTTAGGTAGTCTAGGGGGGCTACCAGGCGACCCCTGGGCACCACGTTGGTGACCTCTGATCTACACCGACTGTTTCTCTCCTCCAATCCTACATGTCATCAACTCCGTCTGCTTCTTTGGAGAACCACATTGTTGAATCAGAAAGGAATAACGAATGAGCCTTTGACTGTGGATATCTAAATGTACCACTGTCACGATCCGACTCCTCCAATGGAATATTTACACGACATCACTGCGTGGTTGCCGTGGTTAAACAGGCCCGTTTTTAATTAGGGGTGGTTCGATGCTCATGATCGGTGACGGTCCGATATTGGCCAATATTTCAGGATCGAACATTGAGAAAATCAACCATAGCAGGTCTGGTACGATACCTAAGCCTAAACGCTCAACCTAACAATGCAACATACCGTACACAGGGACACTATCGCAACAGCAGCCTGCGGCATGCTGGAGTACGACAAAAGGTATCTGATTGATATCTGTACTCCAAGTATCTGAACAGGACATCGAGGGTTGTTTCGAGCCGTCTCTTGTTTTAAGGACAAGAAAACTGGCATTGTTCAATCCGAGTTATTTCTCCAACATCCTGCTGACCTGGGATCCTGTTGGACCATCTTTGAAATATTCAGTCACAGACCAGGGAGTTGTAACAGACTCAGCTTTTAAAGCCCCAAAAAATCCACAAAATAGTTCTTCTCAGCCAGGACAGGTGGCCAGGGTCGAGTCCACGTTTTATAGGTCAGACCTGCACAAGGTAATCCAGGCTTTCACAGCTTCTGCCCCTAAACTCTGGAGTGAACTGCCTGTTACTATAAAAACAGGCTTCAACTCACTCTAAATTGAATTCTTCTTAAAAACACATTAGTTTGTTATTGTCGTTAACGCACTTTGAGTGGTTCCACGTTTATACACATAAATATGGCTTTTTATCCCCGTGTATACTTATTAGTTATATAGTTTACCTATTTTAGTCCTTTGATTTTTATGTCAGCGTTTTATCGTAATGCACAGCACTTTGTTTCAACTGCGTTGAGTGTTCTGTGAAGCAAACGTTTTCTTTACCTTTATAAACACGGGTAAAGGATTACACAGCTCTCACTACTATGCACGACTGATCACCAGACCTGACTTCATAGATGTCACTTCAGCCGTGTACGCAGCTCGTCACACTGCCAGTCAAACATGCTTGAAGTAAATCCACAGTGACAAAACCGAAGGTTCTGACCGTGAAGAAGGAACGACTTAGAAATAAGGATCATTTTAGCCTCAGCTAAAGGAAAAGACTGGTGTGTTCCAGTGTTTCCCACATTTTAATCCATGGGCACACTCATTTATGTAAATTCTACCATCGCTTGGCTTGTAATTATAAATACTATTCACATTTGTTTTAGTAACATTTGTGTGGATTTGGGCAGAAATTACAGTAAAGGAAAATGTTTTTTTGTTCTACAATCTGCTTTACAATCTGGACAAAGAACAATTAATTCCCAGAAATCCTTTAAGAAAGCGAAGAATATTACATCTTGTTGTCATAACATCTGTTTAATCAGAGAGAAGCCCAGAAAACCAAACAAGATGAAGCAGAGCCCAGAAACTGCAACTTTTAAATCACATTTTAATTTTTTTTTTTTGATTTTCTCTTGTTTCTTTTTTAAATTCTTAAGAAAATCAAAAAGCGAATTATTTTTGAGGCCAAGTCTCAGTTCACACTTAGTCAGAGGTCAGAAATGGATTTTTTTACTTAGAAACTAACATGAAAATACAGTGATCAAGCCCCAAAATTTTAAAGACGCACACATCGCTGAACTGAAAACCTCAGTGATAAAGCATAAAGGCAAATCAAACGGCGTGAAGGTCAAATGAGTCTTCTTCCCCTGGCTCGTACGCCCTTCTCTCCGTCTTGTGACCCTCATATCTGATAGATTTGGCAACTTGCATCAAAAGGGCAAACACTGACAGAGAGCTCTTCCACTGAGCTCATCAGCATGAATCAGAGGAAGACCTCGGTCTGCACCGCCCCGCTTTACATCACGTCCGAGGCGAGCGTTTCATCAGAGGGAGGGAGGACGTGCCACAGCAAAAAGGGCAATTGACTGTGACTCCCACCACTGATTGCAAGATATTTGTGGAAAGGCAGGGATCTTTGCAGTGAAGCAGTGGTTGTTTCAGGGAATAATCTAGAAGATTTCGATTCAAACCATATTTGATGAGAAAAGCACTCCAGAAACTGACCTGGGTTCAAATTCTGCAAGTGGAAAAAATCTCAGTGACCATCGAACAAATTATCGAAATTATTGGCGATCGTTCTATCCAATATTCAGGATCAGTATTGGTCTGATATTGGGCAAATTTTTAGGATTCACCATCAAAGAACTATATCAACTATAACTTATCCGATCCGATACCTAAGCCCAACAACTCAACTCAACATTGCGCAACATTCCGTAAACGTGAACTATTATCACTATTATCAATATTTAAATGAAATGTTGCTATGTAGCTTATAAACATTTTTCTCGATATTCTTTTTATATTTATTATACTTTCAGTTAGTCTCAAATAAAATCTAATGTGACAAACAATCATCTACCTGCTGCTACTGGGCACATGGTGATTTTTTTGCCACATTTAATCTTCATTAGTTTGATTTAATCAATAATAATTGTGCCTAATTACAATCACAATTAATCATGATTATTAGTGATTAATCCACAGTTACCCTGTGGTTAATCAGATGAACATTTAAACCTTTGACAGATCATGGGTTTCTCTGAAAAAAAAAAAAAAGACACATGATGTCCATAAAAAAAGTTGGCTGAAGATTTTTGTCAAACAGCCGAAGTTAAATTCTTGGCAGCTTTCCTCAAACATTTCCTGAATATTTCTTTGGTTTGATTTTTGGTAGAGCTGCTGCTGATTTGTGACCTGAGGAAAAAAAGAAATTCACTTTCGGCACCTTGTTTTCTCTGAAGACAGATATAGGCAAATGAATCTTTTATTCATGGGTGGATATTCAGAGTCCGCCCTCCTGTAGACCAAGTGCACAAACACTAGCTTTTCCCTCCAGAGTCATTCTTCATTCACCAGACTCTTGCTGCCCACGCACGGCCATAAATCTCACAATGAAACAGAGCCACTGAGCTGATTTGGGAAAAAGGCAAAATAAAAACAGCTGCTGAAAGAATACGTGCCACCAACCTTAATAACCTGCTCGTCCGTCGACTTGCACTCCACTGACTCGGTCACGTCAGACACAGCGCCGTCTGTTCCCACGGTGACTACCTTCACTGGCACGGCCACAGTGCGGCCGGTGAGCACTGCTGTGTTCAGGATCTCTGTGTCCTGTGAAGAAGCAGGGAAACGATCAGTGTTTGGGATTCAGCATTTATCTGGTTTGAAGATACGTTTCACCTGTGATCAAGGCATTCTGGGAAACATACAGTATTTTTTGGCCGTAGATCAAAACTGTATTTTTTTAATCTTTTTTTAAATTATTTTTCTGGTTGTGTAAGTATAAGAATTATAAGAAGTGAAGTTTACAATAATTTGGACTACATCTATGTCATTTAGATTAAAAATTGGTAATTAAAGTAATTAAATCGTTTGTTGTACCTACTTGCTTTATTTCTGCAATTTTTTCCTAACCCGTTGTCTATGGTCTTGCGTTATATGTAGATCATTTTTAATTTGTCTAGAAAATGTCTTGGTATTTTCTGACTGTACTTTAGGTTAGTTGTCATTTATTTTCATTCAGTTCTCCCATACTTTTAAATACTTTTTCTTTTTTTTCTTTTTTTCTATACACCCCATCCTCTTGAGTGATTGTTCACGAAATGAATGCAATTTATCCAAATTACTAAACCGTTGGCACACACTGAGTTATTGTGACTATATTTTCTGCTTACTTTTAGCTATCTTTAAATTACTTACAGGCAATAGCAATTTTATTTACAATGGACTTGGAGAATTAAATAATTCAATTTACTCCAATCTAGTGTACAGATCGTTTTATATGTTTAGCTTTGGGAGACCGAATTTACTTTCTTTTTTAATTTGTGTTAGTCTGGAAAATTTATTTGAAATACAGTCTTTAAAAGTAGGAAATATTAAAAAATAAAAAATAATTATATAAACAAAATGCAAAGGAAACAGTCCATATGTATATATATATACATATATATATACATATATACATTATATATGTACTAATACAGATACATATGCATACACACGTAAAAATGTACATATACACGTACATATATACAGTTCTTAACACATACAACAATGTGAAATTAAAAACATATAGACTCATACAGGTGTATGTCCTTTTTGGCACTGAGCAAAAATCCTGTTTTTATGTATTATATATATTTAATACAATATTATTTGTTGTCTGATTCTTTATAATGGCTACACAATTAATTAAATGGAATTTCAAATACAAGGAGCGCGGTCCATATTTCTAGTCTAGGAATTATTCTGGTAGCTCGGTCTACTGTAGTTATTTCCCTAAACATTTGAAGTGACTTCTGATTTGTATAATACATACTGTACACAATGTTCTTCCTTTCTCATTTTCTCATTTTAGAGTACATATGTTAAATATTCCCAAAAATATGTTCCTTTTTTTCAAAATTAATTTATTTCTGTCAAACCATTATATTGATTTTTTTAATTTACTAAGTTAAAATCCATTATATTATCTTTTAGAGAAACTTGTCTGAACCTGGAGACGCTATTTTAACACAGTGAACATTTGGGGAGAATTTCCTCAACAGGAACAAAAAATTGGACAAAACCCAGTAAAAAATATATATTTTTTAGGTACTACAGGAGTAGCGGTTTTTAGATATCAAATCTGGCCCTGAAGTTTGGGCGCCCCTTCAGTTGAGCCAATCAAGTTCAGTTCCTTCAGTAAGAACTGACATCCCTGCATCTCCATTTTCATTATGCCAAGATCAACTGAAGATGTTTTTATTCGTTCAAGGCAAAGTTTTAATATGCAGTGACAGCAACATTCCACATTTCCATAAATAACAATTGGAGTGGATTTCGTACGCGTGACATTAATCACAAAAGTACAACTGGCACAATTATGGTTGCCAGTCACAGTCCCTGTATTGGCACTCACTTGTCCTCCACTTCAACTTGTGTCTCCACTTCTGCTCATGAGCTCATTCTGTGACCGACATTGCCATATTTTTGTGTATGATCGATTGAGATTAAAGAGTGAGTATGGGCGCTTCAAGGACCTCAACAATGAATAAGAAAGAAAAAAAAAAGAGAAGTGATTACGCAGCTCACGGCGGCAGCAGCAGCAGTATTGAACGACAGGGACTCAAGGGAAAAATGACTGAAAAAGTACATATGAGCATTTGAAATACTGGTTGTTTTTTTTTTCAATCAAAACATATTTTCCCCAGTACATGTAAATTAGTCGGGTCTTTGGTGTTGTTGAACAAAAGCCTTTAAAATGAGGAGCAGGGATTACAAGGCTGCTCGTCAAATAACGGCAGAAATGTCATTTAATTGTTGTTTTGTACAAACTACGTCTAATTCTGTTGTCCTCTTCAGCAGTCAAATTAAGGTAAACCTTACAGGGCAGTGGGAGACCAAATTACTACGAAGTAACTGTATATCACAGATGTGTCGAGGTGCTGTTAGAGCTCTGATTGGACGACGGCACAACAACTGAACGTGTCTGAAGTGCAGTTTGAAAACCTGAACACATCAACAGTGTCACAGGTTCACGTTGGTAAAGAATGTGTTAAAACATTCTTCTCCATTCAGTTGTCAACACATGAGAGTACTCTTTGTCTTATATGTGATAAATAAATATATAAATATATGCTACATATACGTACAACCGCACATGTTTGATTCTGTCACTGTAATAACAGTCCACAGAGGGGTTTTTTTTCACTTTTTTCTCATTGTAGGATATTTAAATCTTTTTTTTTAAGGCAACATCTGCCGAGACTGATGTTAAAATACGAGGGTTCAAACCTCAACACGGAGTTTATTTACTGTAGATTGTGTATGAACGAGGCTGCTGCAGAGAATAATCTGCATATTTGACTGTTTTTTTGTTTTGTTTTTTTCTCTTTTTTGTTAAGGAATATGCCCTGACTGAGACATGACTCAAACATTTATCAGGTAAATGTTGTAGTGTTCCCTCCTCACTCTCACACTCCCTGTGGCTTCACGTCATTAAAATTCACCCACTCGTCATTTATGTTCCCTGGGATAATGGAACTTTTAATTTATTGGCTAATTGTAAAATAATAATAGGCAATTTGTTCATAAATTACTTCACAAGTCTACAAACAGAGCAAATTACCAAATTAATTTTGGGATATTTTCTGATTGGAACAAAATAATTCACTTCTGACGTGTTCATCTATCAAAGCTTATTAAAAAACACTTTCAATAGCCGTCAGTTTTTAGTAACATAACTTCATGTTAAAGTAGTTAAAACTCCAACTCCCTTTTCTCAAAACCTCCAGTCCTCTACTTGACTGATTCTAACAGAAACTGACAATGTTTTTCTCTCCAACATTAGAGGAGCAGAATAAAAAAACCAAAAAGGCTTGAGCTCATTAACTTCAGCCATTGTTGTCAACACGTAGTGTGGGCTGTAATTCTTTTTTGTGTCTCATATCTCGGTGATTATTATAATCCGCTGACCGCCTCATGCTCTTTTTTTCTACACAATCTTTTATTTTAGAAAAAATATTTCTAAGCTAATTGCAGGACACTTTCCCTCTGTAACTCCGCCGTGTGCTCTTCCTTACTCGCCTCCTTTCAAGACAGTGGTATTCATCACTTATCTGACACCGTGGCACCTCGAGACAGACGTGTGTGCCTTTACAGGAGTTTCAGTGAGCCTGACAAACAAGCCTCAGGGGGAAAAAAATCATATCTCAGCATGAGAATCCATTGTCTTTTTTTACTCCACGTTTATTATTTGCCCTTGTCAGAACCAGGTTCCAATATAATTCACGATGCAACAGGAAATGAGGAGACAAGCTGCTGAAATAGTTTTGTAACTTTTCTTATATCCTTACTTTCTTAACTCCACATTTTTTATCTCCAACTTTTTCAGCCTTTATCAGATTTCTTTGAGCTCCCTGCGAGTACTTTTCCAAGTACTCTAAACAGGCTTTGATAGGTTGTTTTGTCCAAATTTAACTGAATGATGATGCTGCAGCTCACACTACAGTCGGTTTGGTCTATTATTTACACTTGCAGACTTATTGAACTGTTCACGAGACTTATAAAAAAGAAAAAAAAAAAGAAAAAAGATGCTTTAAAGTCAGGGAGCTAGTAGAGAAAAGGATTCAGATTGATCAGGACTTCTCTTGTACTCGTGGTGAATCTGCTGTTTGGACGATTGACTACAAGCACATATCGTGTACGTCAAGGCTTGAACTGTGACTACAGAAAACCTATTCTGAGGAAATTTCATTCACCGACTTTGTTTCCTGTTTCTTTATGTCAACACAACAGTGGATGTTTGCAGATGTAAATGTGCAGTGGTGTATGCTTTGACATTCAAAATTGTTTTTTGAAATTATATTTTATTAGGAAAGAAAAATAAATGTTTATATTTCGCACAGTTACCTTTATAAATACACCACCCGTCTTTAATAACTTTAATCAATCAATTTCTGTTGTCCTCTTCAGTTCAGTATGAGCCAGAGTCAAGTTAAAGGAAATCTCATAGGGCAGAGGTTTTCAAAGTGTGGGCTGTGGTCACCTTTGGGTGCCACCAGGGGGCGCTATTACAGGGTCCAATATTAACTTTTTTCCGATATGCCAATACTGTCCAAACACCTAATTTCCTATTCCGATATCAACTGATACTGATAGAGCAGGGTGCTGCCGGCTCACTAAGGTGATGGGAGGCAGTTGTGTGCTGTGCATCAATGACAATAATTCACTTTCACTGATATATGCAGCCATTTTTCTCCAAAACTATTTTTTAGTCACACATCATTTAGTGAAACCCTTGTATTGCGTTACCGGTTTTCATTATCGGTAGACAGATATTACATAATGATGCTAATATCGGGCTGATTATATGGGTCGGCCAATATTATTAACCATCACTAATTTTTATAACCATTTGTCCTGGACTGTACAACAGCCAAGAAAAAAAATATTCCAGGTGATTTCCTGAGTATTATCTGAGCGCAAATCTCATTTTTCCACAGCAGTGAGCGCCCAAAGATTTATTAGGCTGTACACCCATGACAATGTCCCTACATATTTAACCATTTTATAACCAGATCTCAATTAAATATTCTGTGTGTGAACACGTAACACTATATTTTTTTATC